CGCCACGTCACACTAGCAACAGCGCAAGGCTATATAAGTGGACTCCACAGCCGCTACCAGATCAGTTGAAACATAGCAGCCTGTGAGTGTGCGACAACGAAGAAGTCAGCGAGCAGAAGACTTATTGTGTGCTTTCCAGACATAGTGATTGCTGTAGTACAGTTATACTCGGAGTGTGTATTTCAGGGAGACTTGTATAGCTCCCGCATTATTAGTACGTGAAGACTCTTGAAGACAGTGTTAAGAGATCTTGTTGTAGGGTTTGTAAAGTGTGGAAACCCGTAATATTGTGATCATTAATTATAGCCGTTATTTGTAGATTGTTAAATAAAACCAATTAACCATCTCTACGGCGTCTTCGGTAACGTAAACACGTTACAATATATATCAGACAGTGAAGATATTCAACACACTATTGGTATAAAAATAGAAATATTAACTGTTCCCTTGCCACTGAGGTGCTAAGGCAGGCTCATGAGTTAATATGTAATTACAATTAGTTATTTAGATAGGTAAATTTTCAACAGAAACTTATTATTGACATGGTGCATTTTATAATTTTGAAGAATTCCACCTTACAGTAATATTAAATATAATAATTATAGTAATACCATTATTTTTAAATGTAAATGTTTATAGCACACAGTTCACTTAAAGATAAATACATTCTCAAACCTGGATGAAAAGTAACATCAAAACGTTTGTAAGGAAGAAAATAGTAGTACCAACATTAATGCAAAAGTGTACTAAGCAAAATAATTTTAACCTTCTTTCTTGTATTATGTGAAGTATGGTCTGGAACACAAATTTGGTTGTTAAATCATCCAGTGCTAAATTCACAAGTTAATGAAGTATTAGCATATGGAGAATTATTTACACTTGCAGTCATTTACGTGTATTTAATTCTAAACTGTCAATTAAATGACTATTCTATTTTGAGCTGGGATAGTGCAGTTGGCATAGCCACTGGCTATGGGCTGGATGCCTGTGGGGTCAGAGTTCAAGTCCCAGTAAGGGGCAAGATTTTTCTCTTCTCCGTGTCATCCGGACCGGTTCTGGGGCCCACCCTGCCTCCTATCCAATCATCCAATCTAGTGCCAAGGTAAAATGGGGGAACTATTCTGTAACCGTTCATTTGATTGGAGAACTGTTGTGCATAAATTAAACATGTATTAGATTAAGATTACTAAATTACAAACAAAGAGATCCGGCAGATAGCTAGCTCTTACACGCGGAAGGGACATAGTTCAAGTTTTGCTATGTGAACAGGAAGTAACATCTGGTACTTTCCTGGAATTCTGGCAGTTTCAGCAACGTCGGAAAGGCTTTGAGAAAATGAGAGCTGACAGCTTGGGACAGCGATAACTTAGAAGTGGGACGGCCGGAGCCTCACACCCTGACTGTAATACATCAAGGGACTGTCATCCCTAGCGTCAGGTCAGCATCTGCCAGAATCACATAGCAGAGCACATGATTGGGAATTCAAAATTTAGGGAACCTCCTAGTTTGAAGAATTAACCAATGGCAGAAGTGGAGGAGTGGATTTCTCTTGGAGTCTGGGGTTCGTGGACCTCAGAATTCAGAGAGAGAGGCATTCCACCTCAAGGAGTCTGGACACAACTTTCGGCCAAGTCGGACACTAAATTTACAACTACGGCCCTTCCGTAAAGCAGTATAAGAAAAGTCCAAAGTAAATGTATTAATGAATTCAGTTGTATTTAGTGTGCTGAACGAGATTAAATGACCATTAAGTGCAACGGTTGTGGAGAGTGTGTGTGTGAAATTGTAGTGAAGGGTTCCTCCTGCCCTGTCCGAGCCAGACCCTTATAAGACCCTGGGATAGGAACTCAACTCCACCGACTACCAAAAAGAACCCACAGAAGTGAGCGGCGAGAAAGTGGCGCACAACGTAAAAAGGGCACAAAGGAAGTGAGCGGTTACAATTCCTCCACTCACCCCATATGCCTTCAAGGTATAGTGTTTAATTAATTAAGCACAGATATAATTTTACCTTTTCACTTTTACCGTTTTATTTCTTTCCACATAATTTTCTTCCACAAATACAAGAACAAAGTCAGAGCATTCTCTTATATGTCAAAATTCATCCCATACAGTCTTAATAGTACACATCCTGTTGTGTGTCATAAACAAGATACATAAAATGTATACAAAAGTATGCAGTCTACACAAAGCAGACACTATTGTATCAACATTTGTTTTTGTTGATGTTACTATACTGGGTCATCATCAGGCATACAGTGATACCAGACTCAGTTGTTGGACTGAATCTACACGTAATTCTTCAATAATGATCCTTATTGTGCATTTGAGTGTTTTTAAATGCATAAATTGAGTCTTTCAGTAAAAATTTTAAAAACTCACAATAAAATTTAAAAAATCAGAGACTAAAGATTAAAACATAAAAACTAAAATTGTACTGAAATAGAAATGAAATATTTTGCAATAAATCTCTTTAAAACTTTGTGACCGCTATGTGTTGACATGATTTTCTGGTGGTAGAAGCGACTAGTGTGTGAGGCGCCTGCATATCGGGATCTTCTCACATAAGTTAGGTCATGTGGTCTTGACCTTACTATCGTCCTGTTGAGCTTGTGGTCGTTTTCCTGTATGTCACCCAACAGGCTGTTTATTCAGAGTGATCTGTAATAGTGTTTTAATTATTATAAGGAGAAGCTTGTAAGTGTGTTGTTATTAAACTCGTTGTTAGGTAATTGAGTATATGTACTTGTATATATTTGATTTTCTTATGATTATATGTGTACCGGCTGCTCCCTGTGTTGATGTTGTTGCTATGTTGTAGCGGTTCAGTCTAGAATACTTGTTTGGTGAAGGTATCTGTATATGTATGTTTGTATAGAGTCAAGTGGTTGAAAAGATGGGGAAGGGGTGGGGTTATTTTGGAGTGTGTGTGTTCTTACTAGAATGTCGAATATGGTGTTACGTATTTCTGTAAATGTATCGTTTATCTGTAGACCTTTCTTCGTTATGTCATATATATATATATATATATATATATATATAATATCTTTCTAATGTGTTGAGTTTGGGTCCCTTATTTCTGTATGCAATAATTTCATCGTTTGATCCATCGTGTCAAATGTATGTCCAGTTTCCAAAATGTGTTGTGCGAATTTAGAATGTTGTTTATTAGTCCTGATAGTATTTATATGTTCTCTGTAATGGACTTTGAATGTGCGTCCTGTCTGTCAGTAAAATCAGATGTTGATAGGATAGTGTCTACTTTGTTTTAAATACAGAATATTGTTGTGTAGACTGCATACTTTTGTATACATTTTATGTATCTTGTTCATCCAATACAAGTTTACTAGACATATATTCTCTCACTTCTACCTCAAAATTTTGCTTGGCTACAGTGTTGGAGTTATTGAACTTGTTGGTCTGATGATGTAGGATCCCGATGTGATGAATGCGCCATTGCCTGTGTTCCACCGCCCTCCCTCCGCTGAGCGTGATGCCACCATCATGCGTCCTCCTGCACATGAGAACTCATGCTTGCAAGTGCAGCGAGCTGCTGATTATCTGGTGCCCCTACCAGGGCCTGGTGCCCCTGAACTGCCCTCATCTCCCTCCACAAGTAGTGTGGACAAGTTGTTGGCTGTTAACTCAACGTCAGACTGGGAGACGAGCTTTGTACTACCAGAGTCCAGGTCCACACAGCCACTGCTGGAGGAGGAATCATCCAGCAGTAGCAACAGCTCTGGCAGCACAGGTATACAAAGTTTTGGAAGAACTTGTTTGTCTATACAGATTGCTAGGGTACTTATAGAAGGTTGAACATGTGTATTTGTATGATAGACATTGCTCTCAACCATTGCATCCTATAGCATATCTAAAATTAAAATTATATTCCATCAAATACAACAGTGATTTTTTTAATAATGAAATAAATCCTTTATATTTTTTGGCCAATGATGACGATCATCAGGATACATGTGAAGTATTTCCTTTAAGTGCTGGTTGTCTTCTGATGGTGGACATCATTGGTTGAAACATGTAACAGCTTTATTTTATTATTAAAAAACATTGTTGCATTTGATGGAACTTAATCCTAATTTTACCATCCATATGTCTTAGATATGGGGAACAAGAAATTCATACAGTTTGGTGGGTGTAGTGACAGCAGTCATTTCCATCTGACTTCTGCCCACAATTTACTGTGATGAAACAACCACTAACTGTATCATTACCATTCCAAGGCCTACATGCTGCTAGCTAAACATTAGCTTCTAGTTTTACTTTTATTTCCACAATTTCCAAATTCTAAATGGGTGGCCAGTTTGGGTCATACCAGTGGAGAAACTAATTACTGAAAAATGACCACTTGGAACATTGAGAAGGAAACTAAAGTACAGTATTAAGATGGATTTCAAGAAAGTAGATTCTGAGGATGGGCTTGGTACTATGTCCAGTGGTGGATTTTGGTGTTGCCAATGTTGAAATTTCAGGTTTTGCTACTAGAGAGTTAGTTAGTCAGCCAAACAGTCGATCAGTTAGTTATTCACTCCCTTATTCTCCTCAGTAATTTCCAGAATGGACTCAAGATATGTGGAAAGCTGTCCTCCAATTTGTAGTTCATAAAATTTGACAATCTGATGTTTGCAGTTTTATGTTTTCCTCACTGGCACTGATAATTTATTGCTTATGTAACTCCTTTGTTGAAAAAATGCTCATGACCAATAAAAATGCCACACCTTCAGACCATGAATAAACATTTCCCATGTACTATTGAACATAAAACATTTAGAAACATATTTTAAGCAAACGTTGTAGATTTTAATGAGATGCATATCACTCTTTGCTATTATGTGACAACTTTTGCTTAATGAGTAAATTTTGAGAAAGCTGATGTTCAGTTTGGACTTCATAAGAGGTAAGAGTCTTAATGGATCAATAAGGACCAAAATTAAATTCACTGAACAAAATTTAGTGAGACCCTTCATATCAAATTTCTGTAGAATATTAGTGCACTGATATGTTTTGCACACTCAAACTATTATGTTTCAGACAAACCAGCAACAGTTGGCAGTCTGGTGAGTCTGGAAAAGGTATCACCCAACATCCATAATAATAATAATAACAACAACAACAACCCTCAGTGCAACAGCCTAAAGGCTACTTTGTCGATGGATCCTGCAGCCCTGGCTAAACAGCCCCTCCCATATGTTAATGTGAACATGACGCCTTCCCACATTGTGGAGACCGAGGTCGAGTCCCAGGGGCGTCCATTCACAGTTCAGGCAGCAGTCAGCAGAAATCTTCTTTCGGAAAATGAGATTTCATGCTGAAGTGTGACAGATACTAATTGAAACTTGGTGTGAATATCATGCTGCTGCAGGCTTCCCAGTCACCATATGGTTCATCAACAGTGCTAACGTGGAATCCCTGCAAACACATGAAGTGGGAATAACAGTAGCGCCATTCAAAGCAGGGTCTTGACAATTTTATGGTGATAGATATGTGAAATAATGTAACTTTTATAAGCATCATTTTTTTTATAAAAGTTGAATAAGACAACATGGCGACTGCTTGAAATGTGTTGGTGTGGTAATGATAGTTGTAACTTGACACGTGACATCCTTCAGAACCTGAGTGCTTTTAAAACTCACATGGTCCTACAGACCACACTGTCTCCGTCTCAGACATTCCCCCAGGACAAGATGTCGCCATGTGCATTCCAAAACTGAAACTTTCCTATTTTTTGATAGCAGGAGGAATATGTTTTTACTTCATGTGTGAAGTAACTGAAGTACAAGAAAGCTTTAATACAAAAGACTGTAGCTGTGTGGCTTCACAGATAATTGGTTTTGATAATCTTGTTTTTATGTGTTTAGGAGGAGATAAGTTTTATCACTAAAGCTGGTTAGTATATGTCCAAAGTTCTTTCTTAAAGATGTTTTTGTTATTTTCAGAAAAGGTAGAAGATACAGTGCTTTAGGTTTCCAATGTTCTTTTAGATGCTTTACAGTTTGTGTGATCATACAGCTGAGTGTGGCCAGGTTCTGTCCCTGATGGAAGTGTAGCTCTTGATGTGGTCACACCACATGACTATATAATGTAGGCAGTGCCTGTTCCAGTTTCTGTACAGGACAGGTAACCTGAATGCACTCTTCCATGTGCAACTAAGCAAGGCTTGCTTGTTGGTTGTTTATACTGTCATCTAAAAGTCTGAAGATTAAAATGTATCTTGTAAGATATGAGGTTTTCATGGTGGTGACCATGAAGAATGCCATCTTCTGGGATGTGGTGCTGTATAGATATTATGTTAACCAACGTTTCGGAGGAACTATCACCGCCATCTTCAGGGTTTAAGAAATATGCAAGCAATGAACCAGCATGAGCAGGAGTTTGTAGTCTACAGACACCTGCTCACGCTGAAGATGGAGGTGATACATTCCTCTGAAATATGGGTTAACAAAATATCTACATGGTGCAACATCCCAGAAGATGGCATTCTTCAAAATGTATCTTACCTGTTGTTTTGTATAGGTGTGAAACTTGGTCCATAACTGTAGGGAAAGAACATAAATTGAGGGCACAAGAGAATAAGAGATGTTATGGAGGAATGGAAGAAAGAATATATGAAAGATATCACAATTTGTAATTGTCAACAGTATTTAAGTACAGAGGAGTGAGGTGGGTATATAGCACATATGGTTCAAACAGTGACTGGTTACATCATTCTGGAAGGAAACCCTCAAGAAGAGACATCATTTGGGAGACTTAGATGTAGATAGCAGGATGATATTAAAATTGCTCTCGGAGAAATATATTGTGAGAATAGGAATTAAGTTGAGGTAAGAGCTAGTGATGGTTTTTGTAACCATGGTTACAAAACTTTGGTTTCATAAATATGTGGAATTTATTGTCAAGCTGAATAACCACCATAGGTCTTGGAAGGTCTTGCACTATATTGTTAGTGCCTAAAGTAACAGTGCATTCAGGTATCCTTGTGTGATGGTGCATTGATCTATACACAAGTTGCAATTATATATGTATATATATATATATATATGTCTTTGATTTTCTGGTTAGTTTTATTCTACTGCCTGTACACTGAGTTGATATGGTGTACTTATGCTCAAACGTGTGCATCAAGAGACAGTGCCACCTGGTGTAGGGGTGACATTACTCAAGGCAAGAGACAATGTTGCAAGCTATGAAGCTGGCATTCAATTGTGTGTCTAGCCACAAAATGGGGCTGCCACCCCACAGAGCCTTTCTTTCTGTGGTGTATTAAGTAGGATTCATTCTTCATCCTGGTTTCAATTCTTGGCCCAGAAGTTAGCTATATGACACAATTTCCATAGTGTTTCACAACCCTGCCAAGAATATGCTGTGAGAGTATCATAAAACAAATCATGAAAATTCTTCCTATCGCTATAGGAAGATTTAATTCTTAGACTCCTGAATCACAGCCCTCCTCCTAACTGATGCCTCACAGCCCTTTAGACTTCATATCATTAGCCATTATTATTTGCTTAGGTAACCACCTTTCATCACACATTATTAGAATAATTATGTATGCTGTACCAATAGATTGTGCTGTGTTGGAAAAAAAAGACTGTAAGGTCCTCCTAAAGTGACACTGTAGTTACTAAACCAAATGAAGTCATCATTATAACTTAATTTGGTCTAGTAACATCGGCGTCATATGTCAAGGTTTAGTCCATCACTCTCCTATCTCTTCTCAGAAATGCTTTTTCTAAATTTTCTGAATTTTGGTTTTACTTTGAATGGTTCAAGTGGGACTGTTTTGGAATTCCAGTAACAGTATCATCACCAGGCAGTTAAGGAGCTGACCTGTTTGTTGGTGTGTTCCAGTCGTAAGTTTTCCAGTAGTCTCTGGAATCATAATCCTTGTTTCCATATTCAGTGTTTTTATCATTAATTTTGAGATTCTATCTCTCTGAATTCTGCTTAAATGACAAATTCTTTTGTTTTGAAATTAAAAGTTTTTCTTAACACTGGTTCAGTCTTCAGTTTCTGCACAATATTGGATCCTTTCATTGTCTTTCATTGCATACTATTATACAGTTTGTCCCAAGAATTTATGCTATGGTAAAGCTTATATTCAAGCAAAAATCATTGGACCAATTCCTAAAGTAAATGAATCTGTAATTGGTTCCAGTCATAAGTAAATCTTTTCAAAGATTCGTTTCTTATGCTTCATTTTTCTAGGGCTACATATGACACAGCATGCATTAAAAGCTTCAGTTCCTCAGTAAAACAATTACAGCAAAAAATTATGTAATCTTAAAAGACTATACACATTTTACTTTGTATTGCTACTACACATGGATATTTTATGTTGCGGCAAGTTATGGGTCATAATATGAATCGAAATGTGCACACTCATAGTCAGTTCAGGCACCTTGTGTTCAGAATACTATATTATAATACTCAAAATGATTTTACAAAATGTATGTGGTGTACAATTTTTTTTTAAGTAAAGGCAAAATTATCACTGTGCTTAAGAACAATGTCATGAAGACTTATCAAGGGTATGGGTGTAAAACTCCAGCCATTCTTATCCCAGAACTTTATGTAGATAAATGGAAGCTCCACATTTTGGTCACATCTTCCTGCTTAAAAAGATCCTAATACAACAACAAATAGGAGGCTGGGTGGTCCCACATTCAACCTAGATGCATTCATAATAAGAGAAATTTCTGCCTTTGCCTGGAATTGAACCCATAAAATACACTGTGGTATTCTAACTCAGTCCAAATTATACATGAGAATCTGCCATTCTGGCCTCATGCAGCATAAGTGGACACTATTATATAGTACTTGTACATTGTTCTCCCCGGCAAGATTTGTGTTGGAATTTTGTGATGTCAGCAACTTCAGGTATGCCATTGCTCCCCTCCTACAGAATGGTTGTGGTGGCCCTCACTTGGCAATTTGCAGGAGTGGTGTAGTTTATATGAGTAAGCGTCTGACTGTTAGATAAACATTTTTATAAACATATAACAAACAACAATAATAATAATAATAATAATAATAATAATAATAATAATAATAATAAAAGCTTATTAATTCAATATAAAATATGTTTCAACAATAATAATAATATCATTAACATAAATTAAAGTTGCTATTGAGAATTGAGAAATGTAATGTATAAATATTAAAAGAATAATTCANTATATATGCAGAATTATTTATTCTCTTTGGTTGGTGTGTTACACAAAAAATTTCCCATTTCGATTGACAAATATAGGAATTTTATTCCTATTTAAATCATATTTCATTTATTGGAATCTGTGTTTAATGGGACACTCACTTTTTTGGATTATGGCTTGGATTTGACTTTCTCACTGTTGGTAGGTGATTGGATGTCATTTTGTGGTATAAACAGTTAAAGGTATCACTTTAACAGGCAGTGAAGGCCCATAAGGTTGAGAGATGTCGAGGCTCCCACATTTTCTAGACAGTTTGCTCACAGATGGCACTGAGGTTATCAGCCTTACGTGCTGGCCGCCCTTTACCCCAGGAAGATTTCTGATACTCATTTCTGCTAGAGGCTGAGCCGACCCCAGGACCATAGTGCAGCCAGGATTAGGTCAACTGAAAAATCCAGTGACCTCATTTGAAATCGAACCCTCGACCTTCCAGATTGTAGTATGGTGCCTCAACCAACTGTGCTACTGCATTCCCTTATTTTCTAATATGAGAGGCCGTTTTTTTTTTTTTTTTTTTTTTTTTTTTTTTGCAATCACTCCAGGGACTGAAACAGTTCTCCAGTTTTTGTAAGTTTGTTCCAGACATGGTAGCATAATGGATTTTAATATAGGGAATTAAATAGGTATTTACGGATCTGACAAGTATAGCAGTAGCGTCATCTTGTATTTTCAAATAGTGGACAATATAAATATAAAATTGCCTATTTTTAACATTCAAAATTGAAAACATTTTTTTGTGTAATTAATCAGCTGAATTGAATATATGTTTGTATTCATATACTTAGATGTGTCCCATGCAGTGTATGTGAGTTTCACTGAAATACTTACAGAGCCAGTCTTTACGGCAGGATCGTTTTCCGCCATCCACTATACTTTCAGTTAAAAATTGATTATGGATTAAATTATCATGCTTATTTGTTAGTAATACTCTGGCATTTTTAGGAGGGACAGAGTAAAACAAAGGAAATAGTCTTAAGATGTCTCTGGGTTGAAATTTGAGCATGGGATTTATTGGATATGAAGCCGGAGTACCACCCTTACACTACAATGCTGGGTGGGGTCAGTTGTTAATCTTAAGATTTACAGAAGTGTTGGTGTGGTTACCTCATCACAGGAAACGCTGTTCTGGTGGGTCCGAGTGTCTGTTCTACCCACTTTGTGTTGATGTACGAGGTCTCTATGTTTATGATTAGACATGTGAGTGTGATATATGTACAGTAGTTCAGGGTTGCCTTGGTTGGAATAAGAAAACAATTAACCAAGATCATTGTCTCTGGAAAAAAGTTGTAAAAATAAATATTACTTAAATTAACGCCTTGTTTATTGCCACCCCTATCCCGCAATAAATCCGATAATATAAGGTAATATTACTTAATGTCAGAAAAGAATTACGAGCCGGCTGACAAGAACATTTTAGGCTAGGGAACACACCTGGATCAGACGAAACTCAAGACTGAGTTTTTTCTTTAAGAAAACAACAGTTTATATAAAATAACTGATTTCACCATGTCCATCCAACGAAAGATTATGGATATCCAGAGAATTTAATAGACTGTCAACAAATAAGGCTATTACGTGATGACCTTGAAGACCGAGTTCGAAACTATACTCCACTGATGAGTGCCCACGAAAAACACGATGTTCACGATCAGGGGGATCCTATGGAATGCACGTGACCATATGTCGAGCAGTGAACGATAAAATTCTTGCCTCTTATTGGTCGGCAGTTTGGGAAGTTGGCGCGATCTCTTTGTTTCATGCAGTAGAGCAACAGGAAGAGCAGACAGGAAATCTATACAGCACGGCAGTGCAAGTACAGTGGTGGAGTTCATTTCCTTAAGTGTGTATAGGACAGTCATTGGGGATGGTTTTAGTAAGTTACTTTCGGAATCTCGGAACTCTTCCCCTCGTAGTAAACTAGATTGTCCAATTGTGGCACCAGAGGTCTTGTCTACTTGGCTCTGTCCTTTTCACTTAACGGAATGCAGAACCATGCTCAAAATTGACTTACATGATAATGTTGCTTTCAAGCAGGATACATTTCGAGTGTGCAAGGGCT